CATCTTTTAATGGTAGAGTTTTTTCTATTGTCCCAACGGTATATTTAGCCGTAGGGTTGAAAGTTCCGATCCTATAAATACTGGTAGGTTTTATAGTAGTAAGTAGTTTCCATTTAGAAGGAAAATCAAAGGACTCAAACTCTTGTTCTTTGGCGTTTAGTACTGCGAATCTAGAATTATTATTATTTACAACTTCTTGTTCCAGTTGAGATGCAGTCCCAGTTCGGTCTAAAGTCTCCATTTAACCTTTAGTTATTACGTCCAACATGCCTTATGCTTAAAATGTCTTGTATAGCAATAACTGTCTTAAGTGTACAAATGGCCTTTAAAGGCCCTTAATCAACTCAAATGGGTATACAACGGCCTCGCTCGTTGATTAAATAATTATTTACATGTTGGCTTTCTCCCTTGACTATCGATTGGCCTCACCTTTAGTTAAATTTTAACTATAAAATAAACTATTTCTAAAGTAAAACTAAAATTCGGAAGTACTGGTTAGTAATTAGTTCTAGATTCAGAATTCTGACCCCTAAACTTAACTCGGGTTTGGCTCTGATACTAGACTAGTGTATGCTAGACTATATGAATAGTGTTTGCATGTCTACCGTGAATAGTGATAGCCTCTAGCTATGGTCTAAGGGAGTACTTCTAACTTTTACTATAGACTATTAGTTACTTAAGCATACAAATAATAAATGAATAATGATTGCATTATATGCATCAATGGTACTTGTTACGTGTAAAGGCAGAGTGCATAAATAGTACAAATCATAAAAGTAAAAAAATATAGGAATGATATAATGCAACCGTTGTATCATAGTATAATGTAATGACACTTCTAGATAATCATGATTGTGGTGTTTGTATGATCTTAAATTTTGTACACACTCCCTTCATCTCAATAATCAGTTCCAAAAAAAAAAATATAGTTCACTTTGAACCCTAGATATAGTCAAAATGAGTCACCTACATAAACGAATCTAGACCACTCATTTTGTGAATTTCAAGATCTTAGCCTTTATAAACTCAAAATCGTTTTTTTCTTTTTTAACATTGTTCATGTAATGATAATAAAGCCATTCAAAAAAATTGGAAATGAAAAAATCCTTCTAAAGCCTAGATCTAAGCATCTCACCAAAATGAACAACTTATGTTTATTGGGCTAAAAAAATATTTTTTAAGTTGTGTTTTCAAATTTTTCTTTATTGTAATTGTTCATTAGAATAAAAAGAGTATATTTCAAATTTTGGATCAAACAACTGGTTAGAAGATAGTTTTTTAAAGTTGTTGCATCATATTACTATATAATGGTTGCATGAAATCATTGCTCTAAAAAATAAGAATTATATAAAAGAAAAACAATGAGAGAGTTTTTTAACATTAAAATAATATTTTTTAATAGATTTTTGAGGTACATCTGTAACTCTACATTTTATAATTGCAACCTTATATAAACTTCTTTCTTATATAAATTCACAAAGCTGAATTTATTGGAATTAGAAACTCATAAAGTTATATACACATCGGGCTCTTGGCATGACTACATATCTGACTTGGTGCATAAATTTTACAAGACTCATACATAATTATTACGTGATGGAAGTCAAAATGTACAAGTGGGCAGAAAGGAAAAACCAGAGCTAGAGAGAGAAAATTTGAGATCCAATTTCAATATGAGAGTAAAAGAGGAGGGAGAGAAGTTGAGATCCAACTTCTTAAGAGAGCAAGAGAGAATAAAAGAGAGACTACAAGAAGAGAGAGAGAAGATTTTTAGTGGCATACTTGGAACAGGTGTTATTAGGCAGCTTCCATACTCTAGGGTAGGGGGTCTGACATCCTCATTCTGTATATGGCTTTCTTCCTTTATGATTGACATTATGTGGGTCGATATGTGGTAAATTGATGTACAGATGTGGCATTCTCCATCTATTAGGCGTACTGCCGTTGGTTGGCACGGTAGTAGTAAAGGTCTGTGGCATTCTTCATCTATCAGGCTTACTGCCGTTGGTTGGCACGATCGTAGTAAAGGTCTGATAGTACCCTTTGACCATCTTTTTTTAACATCGGGAACAGTTATTTTGCAGAGATTTATCTTCTTCGTTTCTTTAAGAATGATTATGGCTAATAATGGCTAACTTTTGTTTTGGTTCTTTTATGTTTTCTATTTCGTCATCGAGATTTATATTTTCTTCATCTTTCTTAAAATGCCATCTTCTTTTTATTTTATCCCACTTTCTCATATAAAAGTAATTTAAAATTTTTCTAGTAGAATTTCACTTAGAATTGAGATTTTCATGAGATTCTTGAATGCGCTTAAATTTTTTAAATGTCAATTCACCAAAATAGGCGGAAATGACCCATTTTGCTGCTAAAAAACGAATATATATTAAAATTTAAGAGAGAGAAACTATATCAAATTTTAGATAAAAAAAACATATTAAACTTTAGAGAGGGGAAATATAGCAGATTTTAGATAAAGTAAGTACATGAAATTTTGTAGAGAGAAAATACATGAATTTTTTTAGAGAGAGAACTATTTCAAATTTAAATTTTTAGAAAGAGCTTATAAAATTTTAGAGAAAGAAACTATCTCAATCTTAAGTTTTAGAGAGATAAAGTATCTTAAATTAGAGAGAGATAGAGAACCTACATTAAATTTTAGAGAGGAACTAAAAAAATTCAAGAGAAAAACATCTCAAAATTTTTAGAGAGAGAAACTATCTCAAATTTTAAGTTTTAAAGAGAGGGAGAGTACATAAAAATTTTAGAAATTAGAAACTATATCAAAATTTAGATAGAAAAACTACCTGAAAATTTTTAGAAACAGAAACTATCTCAAATTTTAAAAAAATATTTTAAAACTTTAGAGATATAAACTATGTCAAATTTTAGATAGCGAAAGTACTTGAAATTTTTTAGAGAGAGAAACCATTTCAAATTTTTTAGATAGAGAAACTATCTCAAATTTTAAGTTTTAGAGAGAGAAAGTATATTAAAATTAGAGAACGAAACTACTTGAAAATTTTAGAGAGAGAAACTAACTCAAGATTTAAGTTTTAGAGAGAAAAAGTGTCTTAAAATTTTAGAGAGTAGCTATATCAAATTTTAGAGTGAGAAAGTACCCAAAATTTCTTAGAGAGAGAAACTATCTCAAATTTTTTTAGAGAAAAAATATCTAAAATTTTAAGTTTTAGATAGAGAAAGTACCTTAAAATTTTAGATAGAGAAACTACCTGAAATTGTTTAGAGAGAGAAACTATCTCAAAAAATTTATAAAGAGAAACTATCTCAAATTTTAAGTTTTAGAAAAAGAAAGTATCTCAAAATTTTAGAGAGAGAAACTATATCAAAATTTAGAAGCTATCTAAATTTTGAAAGAGAAACTATTTCCAAAATTTGGGAAAGGTTTTTATACTTCCCTTACAACATAGAAGATCTATGCTTCTCCTACCATCCAGCCGTCCAATTTTGATCAAGAGAGCCACTCACCGTTTGATCTTAGATTTGACGTCTCAAAGTATTTTATTTTAATTTTTTTAAAAAAAATTATATGAATATGAAATTTGGTACGTGCCATCTTCTCATTGGGGTGCACCTATAAAAAGTATTAAAATAATTTTTCGATAAAATATAATAACCAAAATATCCCTTAAATTTTTCAGGGGTATTTTGATTATTTTATTTTATTGAAAATATTTTTCTCTAGTGCGAGTTTAATAGAGGATGGGACATCCAAAATTTGGTGTCAAAATAGTTTATAGAGAAAAAACTAAAAATAAAATAGTATAAAGACATGACATTGTGATTGGGGCAATATTAGCCCTCCATTCAGAATGGATAGTTGGATAAGGGGAAATATATAAGTTTTATGCTCTAGGAGAAGCATAGAAAGCTTACCCCAAAATTTTTAGAGAAACTATTTCAAATTTTAAATTTTTGAAAGAGAAAATGTATTAAAATTTTAGAAAAAAAACAAATTTTAGAGAAACTTTTTGAAAATTTTTAGAGAGAGATACTATCTCAAATTTTGAATTTTGGAGAGAGAAAGTATATCAAATTTTGTTACTAAACAATGGACATGAAAATGATTATAAAGAACCAATGAATTTTGTAATATATATCCAAATAAGAGAGTTGAGGAATCCATAACAAGAATCCATAGATTTTCTTGGATTTAAAAATAATCCAAAATTGCTAATTTCCTCCTATCCAAACTGGTCATAACAGTTTTCTCTCTCTTTGTTAAAAGGAATTATATTGTAACGAATTGAAATTGAGTTTTTGATTCCTACACTAGTTTCTCTCTCTAAAACTTTTATCTCTTTACTAAAAAGAAAGTTGTCTTGCATCACTTGTTTCTCTTTCTTTA